TCATTAAATCTGACATACTTTCTATAAAAAGTTGTTTCATATTTTGTTATACCTTGTCCGTATTAATTTATCAGCTATAATTTTCAAAAAATATTCAAAATATATCTTCTATTTTAGATATTACAAATTTTCTGCTTAGAAAATTTATTTGTATTTTACAATACCTATTTACATCACATACTATATCAAACATCATATATCACAGAACATCACATTATTTTGGATTACTTTTTCCATTATAAATTAGCTTACTTTTAGTTTTTTTTACTGGTATTTATTCACGAGACTGTAAACATTTATGTCATATTCACAATACAAAAATGTCATCAAATCGATCTTGTTTAAATTCTCTAGATAACTTTTGCTTCATCTGTGGAAATTACATGTTTGGGAAACAAAAAAGGAAAATAACAGACAGTGTAAAAGAAAGATATTGCAAATATTTTGGGCTTGGAATAAAGAATCAAGACAAATATTGTCTTTATTTTATCATGAATATCAACACTCTCATCATGGGTAAAAATTTTAAGCCAATGCCGTTTGTAGTACCTATAATGTGGCGAGAACCAAAAAGTCATGATGACTGTTATTTTTGTAAAGTGAAGATTCTTGACTATAATAATAAGAATAGAACAACTATAACATATCCTAATGTTACGTCTGTTACAAAACCTATTCCCCATGGTCCTAATTTTCAAAAACATTACAAAGTAAAGGATTGGCCAAGAAGAAACGAACTTAAGCCAAAATCTATGAACATCATTTATTCTCCACTAGTAAATCAATCTAGCATTCTATTATCTTTTCTTCATATCAAGTTGAGGCTAATGAAGCAATTCATAAAGGCTCTTGATAAAGAAGGAGAATGTTTTAAATATGTGTGAAGTGTTTTTCCCTCTCTAAGTAATGCTAAGCTAAATGAGGGTATTTGGTTGATTCTGACATACTCAAACTAATGAAAGATTCAAATTTTGATGTAACTATGCTACCAAATAAAAAAGAAGCTTGGACATCATTTAAAAAAGTCTGCACTAGTTTTTTGGGGAACAATAAAGATAAAAATTATAAAATTTTAGTACAGAATATGTTAACTGCTTATTAAAAACTTAACTTATATATGAGTTTGAAAGTACACTTTTTACATAGCCATCTAGACTTTTTTTCAGAAAACTTAAAAGTAGTAAGTGATGAACAAGGTGAGAGAGCTCATCAAGATATGAAAGAAATAGAGAAATGGTATCAAAGAAGTTGGAATGAACGAATGCTAGCTGACTACTGTTGGGGTTTGAAACGTGACTGTGTTAATGTTTGGCATAGAAGAAAAAGTAATGAAAAAAATCGCTTAGAATCATTTAAGTCTAAATAAATTGAGGTTTTTCATATGAATAAAATAAATAAAATCATATAAAACTAAATAAATAAAATAAAATTTTTTAAATTGAAATAAATAAAAGCTCTCGTTTTAAACAACATAACTAACATTGTCCGACACGTAATAAGTTAAAGAAATACTTCTGAATCTGAATAAATAAACCTGAAACCAAAATAAATTTTTTAATTAAAATATAAAAAAATTATATAAAACCACCAAAAAAATACAAAAAGAAAAAAAAAACAAAGAAAAAAGAAAAAAACAAAGAAGGAGCGTAAATAACCTTGCCACCAAGAGGTGCACTCCGGGCAACGTTTTTACGGCAAAATGGTAACAGAATTTTGTTCATTTAAGAATAGTTCATTCTAGGATCGGGGTTCGTGGGCTTGGAGTTCGAGGGCTAGGGATTTTTAAGGTATGGGGTTCGAGGACTTAGGTATTATGGGCTTTGGGGTTGAGGGCATTGAATTTGAGACATTGGGGTTTGTAGGCTTGGGGCTTGAAAGATTGGAAGATGAGTAAGTTTGCTAGTTGTGGTTGTATAGGGGTAGTTTTTTGGGATTAGTTGGGTTAAGGATGTATTGATTCAATAAGTCAGTTCTCTTTTCATATTTGATTCCATTTTAATATGAAAAAATTGGAAAAAACAAGCAATTAATCCCACGGAAACCAGGGTAGATGAATAAGATGGGTCACTGTATATGATTTTATTTTGATATAAAAAAATTAGCAATTTATTTCACAGTTTCCAGAGGTGGATATGCTTACTTAAAGGTGGTTTCTAGGAATTTGGTTAGGTGGAGGGTAAGTTAGTTGATGTGTCTTATTTGTGTTATGGGACGTAATTATTCTATAATAAAAGCTATTTTATATGCTACCCCTAGATTTAGGTAAATTTGACTGCTTGTGGATTAAAAGGGGTGAGATAAGTAGGGGTGGATTGAGTTTAGAGTGTGTAGAAATTAGTCTGTAGGGCTTGGGGTTATTGGATTTAGGGTTGCTAAGTTTGGATTGTCAGGTTTGAGGTTATTGAATTCAAGTTTAATTATTTGGAATTCGAAAATTTGGATTCTCTGTTATACTATATACGAGGTGTGTTCAAAAAGTAAGGTGACTTTGTATTTTTAAGGAAAAATATTTATTTATTTATCAATATTTATGTTGTCCCCTTCAAAGTAATCCCCCTCAGATACAATACACTTATGCCAACGATTTTTCCAATCCTCAAAGCACTTCTCATAAGCACTTTTCGGTATAGCCTTGAGCTCTTCCAGCGATGCAGTCTTTATCTCTTCAATCGTTGCAAATCTCCGTCCTTTCATAGGTCTCTTTAGTTTTGGGAACAAGAAAAAGTCACATGGGGCCAAATCCGGTGAATATAGTGGCTGAGGCATGATTGTGGTGTTGTTTTTGGCCAAAAAATCTCTCACAAGCAAAGATAAGTGAGCAGGGGCATTATCGTGATGCAAAAGCCATGAATTGTTTTTCCACAATTCTGGGCGTTTTCTTCGTATTGCTTCTCGCAAACGGCGCATAACTTCAAGATAATACTGTTTATTGACCGTATGTCCATGTGGTAAGAACTCCTGATGCACCACGCCATGGTAATCGAAGAAAACAGTGAGCTAAACTTTGACATTTGATCGAACTTGGCGTGCTTTTTTCGGTCTTGGCTCATCTGGGCTCTTCCATTGGGACGATTGGACTTTGGTTTCGATATCATAACCATATATCCATGATTCGTCACCAGTTATGACCCTTTTGAGTAGATCTGGGTCATCGTTGACGTCATTCAACAGTTTTTGAGCGATGCTCATGCGACGGTTCTTTTGGTCAAAATTTAGCAATTTCGGAACAAACTTCGCTGACACACGTCTCATGCCCAAAACGTTAGAAAAAATTTCATGGCACGAGCCAAGCGATATACCAACATTCTCAGCAACTTCTCTGATAGTGATTCGATGATTTTCCAGAACAATTTTCTTCACTGCTTGAACGTTTTCATTAGTTGTTGACGTGCTTGGGCGTCCAGACCGAGGCTCGTCATTGGCATCTTCCCGGCCATCTTGGAAGAGTTTGTACCACTTGTAAACATTTTTTTTACTCATAACAGTTTCACCGTATGCCACCGTCAACATTTCAAGTGTTTCGGAGCACTTTATTTTATTTTTTACACAAAATTTGATGCAAATCCTTTGATCCATATTTTTCGATAGCAAGAAATCGCCGAACATGAAAAACACTTATAACCTTTACGCCTCTCACAACCAAACAAAAAATGCTATACACTTGAAACTTGGTACAGATGTTCCGGAAGAGTGTACCAACATAACAAAACAAAAAAATCTATAATCGAAAGTACGTTGCCCGTGAAATTTGAAAAGTCACCTTACTTTTTGAACACACCTCGTATAAGCATATGGTTTGTGGGCTATTTGAAAACTATGAAACTTTATAATGCGATATCTCAGCAAAAAAAAAGATATCTAAATAAACTCAACACGATTTGAAAGGTGGAGACCTATACTGTAAAATTATCTGAACGGTTTTTGGCTGAAAATTTTTTTCACGATGCTACATAACCTCAAAAGTGGACAAAAACAGCTTTTTTCTCACTTTTAGGACAGAATATCTCAAAAACTAGAAGTGATGGAGCAATTCTGCGGCCAGATTCGGATTCAGCACACCAAAATGCTTTGGAAAAGTATACTCTAGTTTTTGTAACTGAAAATTCGTTAAATTTTGTGGCCTGTGCTATTTTTGTTCGCTGGAGTATACGAAATATGATAGGTTGGGTTGAATTTATGTATCAAGAACTGCCTCAGATATAGAAAAGTAATTTGAAAAACGATTTGACGAGCAGTTAGTTAAGATTTTTGACGTACTAATAACGATGTGATATGAAGTTGGTAGTTAAAATGATTATTATAATGATTATAATGATATCTATAAAATGATTTTTACATAAATTCTTTTGCATCGATTTTTGTAACATTTAAAAATGTTTCTCTCATTTTCTGTGAAAAGTAATATATAAACCTATAACCAGATCCGTATTTTTACAGAAATTCAAAAAATTCTAATTCAAAAACATACACAGGGTCAGGCATTTTAAAAAATGTACCCAAATTACTTCGAGCAGGTGAACTTTCGTAAAAAATGTTTCATATGGAAATTGCTTGGCTTCGAGAGGGACATATTTTCACGATCTTGTCTTTGACCTTGGAGATGATGTTCAAGAACATTTCAAGGTCAACTTTGTTTTTCTCAAATGGGAATGTCTATTTTTTACTTCGGATTCGAGAAGAACGAAAAATTCTACGTTTAAGTAAGGTAACATATTCGGGGTCAAATTGACCCCAAGGTTATCAAGAGGTTAATTTTATTTTTTTTTATTCTTTTTACCCGAATGCTCGGGAAAGCGTAAGATTAAGGATTTATGTTTCCGAAATGTCAGATAACTAAACAAATTTTCTAATGACAGATAGGTACATAAAGAAATACTGTAAACCTATTCGTCGGATTACAAGTATAGAAAGAATTATGGAATCATAAGATAATTTGATAAAGAATGACTGAAGAGTTACAAATATTCAAACGTAATTCAAAATAGTTTAATTAGACCTACTTTAACGGTGAAACACTATCCTCGACCATTGTAGATCCTTCATTTCCTTCAATGCCAAAATGATCTTTAGATTTTTGTTTCTTTAGAATAATATCTATGTATCCAGATATTAACTGTAAAATTTGCTCAGCTTCAGTTGTTTGGACACTATAATATTGATCAGAATAATCTCCAAAATCCAATGTAAATGTATTAGGCGACGCTCCCCATCTTCTGACCGTCGTAAGAGGCCACGATTTTAGAATTTCTTTTGTTTTTTCATCAAGACGTAGGACAGAGTCCTTGGTCACACCGAGTAAGCGAGGTACTAGTTTATTTTTTCCTTTCATTTTTTCTTTCACCAAGAAAAAAGTGACTCCGTAAGTATTTAACGATCTTGCTGTTTTTGTATATAAAACTTTGGCTTCCAACTCGGATAAGCCAGTGTAATTCTTATGTTCAAGAAAAATTTTCTTTTCGATACCTTTAACTTTTAAATAAGACTGAGGTAGAAACTCTTTCAAACTGTAAAAATAAAAAGAAAACTTTTTAGTATAAAGAACATGTAAAGATAGCAAATATATAAGGTTCAGCTACAAGTAACATTACTAATATGTATGCGTTCAATAAACATTAGATAATGTATGCTGATATGATAATTAAATACTACGATTTTTCTCAATATTTTATTATCGGCGTACTAATAAAATGATTAGAAACTGATTTAATTTTCGTATGGAACACATACTGTCCATATATATATTATACAATAAATGGTCGATGAAAAAACTTATAAACAAATATTGGGGGTCACGGTGGCTCAGTGGGTAAGAGCCCAGACTTCTGTGTAAGAGGTCGCGGGTTCGAGCCCCGGATATGTGAAGATTTTCAGAAATGAAATTTTCATATATGTGTTACTGTGATTCCGGTGGTTCGGATTCCACCTTAAACTGTAGGTCCAGTCATGATTGTGTTCAACTTTATCCTCCTACATCATTTAAAAAAATGATAGAGAAGGTGAGTCTGCATATTCATGACTATAGGGAACCAAGACTAATGCGTACAGGTACTTAGTTTACCTCTGCAGCGTTCCTCGTGGACCTAGTTCTTGAAGTAATAACAATAACAATAACAATAACAATATTTGGTACATCAATAAATTCAGCGGTTTCTCCATTATTTTCAGATATCGTCATGAAAAATCTAGAAACGACAGTTTTAAGAATACTAGAAGAAAAATTCAATTGTTGTATTTTCGATATGTTAATTTCACGATTATTTGTATTGTTATTGTACTAAAAAAGAATTTATACCAACTATTCTAGAAAGTTTAATGGATATAACGCGCACCTATAATTTATTCATAAGACAAAAACTGATAACAGAATTAATTTTTAGGATATTTCACTGATTAGAAAAAACAATAAAATAATTTCGAATTCGCATAAAAAAGAAACAACTTTAGATAGAATACTAAGTTTTAATTCCAACCATACTATTCAACAGAAACGTTATATTATTTTTAATTTATATGACAGAGCCATTTTCTATCACTCAAATTTTTCCATTTTCAAAATTTGAATATAATTACTAACATATTCAAAAATAACAATCAATCGTAAGATTTTATAAAAAAAAATAGTATTGCGACTCTTATGAGCGATTATAGGATGAATTTGAAAAAATCAATTATGACTATGTTCATTCCGTTTATTGAGGAATTTTATTACACTTGTAAAAATGCAGTGAAAAAGTATAATTTATTGTACATTCCTTCCATGAATCATAAAATTAACAGTATTATTAGATTGAGAAAGGATACAAGTTGTAAGCAGCAAGAATCAGGAATAGTTTTCAATGTAATTGTAATAATTGGGACCATATACTCGTACATATAAGACAAAATAAAAAATGAGGACAATGAAAAAAGTGATAATCTAATGCCTGTAAAGCCAATATAGGTGTCGTAATTAATAGGCTCTTAAATTTATACTAACAGAACAAGTGATATCAACATTTACACACAAGTTAATGATTAGTAAAATGTAGAACTATAAAATACAAGCCAGAAGTTAGACCTACTGGAGTCTTCTTTAAGTTAGAACGAAAACTTTTCATTACACCCTCGTATAATAAATTTATAGAAATTTAAGCAAACATAATTTCACTTTATAAATATACTGATTGATAATATTTTTAAATATAATTTTTGAAATTCCTTTAACTGGATAAAAAGTTCTTGAATAATCTTTTGTAGAATTTAAATTATTCAATTTTCTAATGCGATTTCTGTACTATGAAGTTCGCGCGATAATTTGAAACCGTATCAAGATATTACAATGATTTTGCAAAATAAATTCAAAGTAATGTAGCTATGATCATTATGACACAGGTCGTCACGTTTCGATGAAAGCTGGTTTAGAATGTCACGTTATGATAAATGCTGATCCATTACGTCATTTACCGATATTGGAGCTTGTCCACGATATCTTATAACTGATCAGTTTCTCGATGAGTTATATATATTATAGCAAGCAGCTCGTTGTTCGTTATGTCTCCTTTTTTCCCTAGGGCAATTGATATATTACGAAGTCTCTCCCAAAAGTATTTGACCTACGTGCATATCTTCGCGCTGAGAGACTTTTGAAGGGTACAAACGTCACCAGCTACTCCTAACCTTGTCAGTAGCCCTGAGATACCGATAAAACGCCTTAGTTCCTGCGCAACGTGTATTTGTTTGCAACGACTTTTTTGCTTTCGTCGTAATTTGTTTATTGTTAACAATCGCAGAATCATCCGAACAGCAGATTTGTATAAAATTTTGCTTTCATCACGGTAAACATTTGGATATGATCCTAAAACAAAACAACAATCTCGGCAGTGAAAGCTTCCATCCGAGCCTCGTCCGAAAAAAGCTCGTCAAAGTCGAAGCAACATAAAGTCAATGTTGATTGATTTTTTCGATTATAAGGGCGTTGTTCACCACGAATATACTCTTACAGGCCAGAAAATCAACAAATAGTACTATATTCAAGTTTCAAAAAGATAAGGGAAAAACGACCGCAACATTAGGAAACCGGTGACGGGCTTCTTCATTACGACAATGTTCCATCGAACGCATCAAATCTTGTGCAGCAGTATTGATTGAAACACAGTTTTGCGTAGCTCCATCAGCCTCCACATAGTCTCGATATAGATCCCTGCGACTTTTGGCTGTTTCCTTGATTGAAAATGCCGCTTAACCCATTAACGCCTAGATGGCTACGTTTTGTACAACTATCTTCCCGCTCTCACAGCTATTGCATTTCAAGACAAATCAAGGCAAATCTGTACTGAAGAAATTTATAAGAGCTAAATCAATAAGATTTGGACTCAAAATGTGGTCTCTATGTGGTGCTAACGGTTTCATGTACTTCTGCGATGTATACGAGGTGTGATCAAAAAGTAAGGTGAATTTTTATTTTTATCAAAAAATATTTATTTATTCATCAATTTTTATTTTATCTCCTTCAAAGTAATCCCCCTCGGATATAATGCACTTGTGCCAACGCTTTTTCCAATCCTCAAAGCATTTCAAAAAATCATTTTTTGTGATCTTGTTTAGTTCATTCTTCGATGCCGTCTTTATCTCTTCAATCGTGGCAAAACGCCGTCCTTTCATGGGCCTCTTCAGTTTTGGGAACAAGAAGAAGTCACAGGGGGCCAGATCTGGGGAATACGGTGCCTGTGGCATCGTTACTGTGTTGGTTTTAGCCAAAAATTCGCGCACAAGCAACGATGTGTGAGCAGGGGCGTTATCATGGTGCAAAAGCCAATTTTTATTTTTCCACAAATTCGGACGTTTCTGGCGGATTGCTTCGCGCAAATTGCGCATAACTTGCAGGTAATATTCCTTATTTACTGTTCTACCCTGTGGCAAGAACTCATGATGCACCACGCCCCTGCAGTCAAAAAAAACTGTAAGCAAAACCTTTACATTTGATCGAACTTGGCGTGCTTTTTTTGGTCTTGGTGATCCAGAAAGCCTCCACTGGGACGATTGAGTCTTAGTCTCGACGTCATAACCGTATACCGTCATCCGTCACTGTTTCGTCACCTGTTATAACCCTGTTGAGTAAATCTGGATCATCGTTGACGTCATTCAGTAGCTCTTGGGCGATGCTCATGCGACGTTTCTTTTGGTCGAAATTGAGCAATTTCGGAACAAACTTCGCTGACACACGTCTCATGTCTAAAACACTCGTCAAAATTGATTGGCACGAACCAAATGAGATGCCAATATCATCAGCAATTTCTCTAATGGTAATTCGACGATTTCCCAACACTATTTTCTTCACTTCTTCAACATTCTCATCAGTTGTTGATGTGCTGGGGCGTCTAGAACGAGGTTCGTCGTCGGTGTCTTCTCGGCCTTCTTGGAAGAGTTTATACCACTTGTAAACATTTTTTTGGCTTAAAGTAGACTCACCGTATGCCACTTTCAGCATTTCAAGTGTTTTGGAACATTTGATTCCTCTGTTTCAATACGTTACGAACCTAAATGCATATTCGAATTAGCAATATAATAATTTGTTGTAAAATAACTAACACTATTAACTTGTAAATTAAATTAAACTAATAAATACATATTTGATGACTACAATAACATGAAATTCAAGATCAGCGCATCAAAATTGACTAAAAAATGCTTTTGTTTATTTGAAAAAACTTTGCAATTGTCGATTTTGCATTGTAAACAATAAATTTCCCACGATCGTGACGTCACGCTCCTTATACGGCCTTGTTTTCGCCGAATTGCCCTAACACATTTACATATATGTGAGAAGAATGCCTTCGCTCATTTACTGCTTTTCTTTGGTTTTCTCGTGCACAACGGGTTGCTATTTTGCAGTCGGAAAAGGTACAAATCAGACTGGACCGTTACAGTAAAAATAGTTCATCGCTTGTAGATGTAATTCCAAAAAAGAACTACTTAAATTAGTTAATAATATTTGAATAACAATCAATTTTCGTATTTTTGCAAAACTTTATAATGTAAATATAAAAATAGTTGATTAAAATTAATAATTTATAACAATGTCATTATGTACAGAATTAACGCATTCGATCCATATACTATTATTTATTTAAATAATTTATTGTTTATTTACTATAACAGTAATAACTAAGCTGTTATCAATGAGACGAATTCATACTCATGTTTCTTAGATAGTCATCTTGAATTTAGAATATCTGCTTTATTATAATAAATAATACAATGTAATAAATGTATTAAATTTGCACGTTAAAATTCAATGATTTAGTAGTTAAAAGCACTTAAAAATATTATAACCGTAATCTATGCCCTAAAATCTATACAAAAAATAGTTTGTTTCATTGAAATTACTCTTAATAAACGCATTCTAATTGAACAATAAAAATTATCATATCTATATCTATAAGTAGAGTGACGTTACACTTCTTATATGGTCATGAAATTTGACTCTAGCACTAATACAATCATATAATATGTGAGGTGGCGCCGT